TTTTATATATATAGATAGGCGTAACACGGGAGTGAGAGATGATGGCATATCTGGGGCCAAGGAGAGCTCATTACATGATCATGTGTGCTTTATTTGCTACAACATGATGTACCAACATATGTGTGATATAGTGAAATAAACACAAAAAAATGCTTTACAAATGACTTGTCTGGAAATTGTATGAAAGTTATTCCTGTCTCTCAAGATAGAAGTAGTGTGTGTAACAGCCTAATGTCAGAAGAGCTGGCTGGTGGAGGGCTCAGAGCCGAATGTCTTCACTGAGCTGAAGCTTTTGTTAATAGAATTACGTGCATAGTTTATAACTGAACTTACTGAAGAACTAGAAGATCTTCAGCAAAAAGTTTATTCTACCCTTATTAAATACATCATTACTTTATTGATTCCAGGAGTGGTGCCTTATTTAAGACATTTTAACACAATTCTGGGAATATTTCATCTTCTGAACAGTACTAGGTCCTTGTACAAGGACATAATAGAAGTAGTTAGAAACTAATTTTCCTGGGAGTTGGCCCATATTAAATGACCTGCTTTTCTTAAGAATTTTTTAAACCTATATTAAAATGTATTAAAGGCATATTAGGGAATGCTTCCATTTCAGGAAAATGTTCAGTCTTAGTGTATTTCAAATTAGTAAACTAAATGTAAGATTTGACATAATATAGTTTGGAAGTTAATTTGAGAGAGTCCGTCAAGAGAGGTTAATTATATTTGACTTGGTAAATTTTGAAAGTATTGTTTTGAGTTGTAGACAGAATTCACACTTACAAAAATTGCACCTCCTGCCCTAGCCGGTTTGGCTCAGTGGATAGAGAGTCAGCCTACAGACTGAAGTGGCCTGGGTTTGATTCTGGTCAAGAGCACATGCTTGGGTTGTGGGCTTGATCCCCATAGGGGGTGCACAGGAGGCAGCCAATCAATGATTCTCTCTCATCGTGGATGTTTCTGTCTCTGTCTTTCTCTCCCTTCCTCTCTGACATCAATAAAAATATATTTTAAAAAATAAAAAGAATTGCACCTCTTGCCCTGGCTGGTGTTGCTCAGTGATTGAGAGTCATCCCATGCATTAAGAGGTCACCACCGGTCAGGGCACATGCCCTAATTTTGGCCTCGATCCCCAGTAGGAGGCATGCAGGAGGCAGCTGATCGATGGCGCTCTCTCCTTTTCCCTTTCTCTCTGAAATCAATAAAAATATATTAAAATAAAAAAGAATTGCACCTTTTAAAAGTTCTCATCACAAGAACAAAAAACCACACCTATAACTACAGTGATGTATGTTGATTGTGGTGATCATTTTGCAATATATACAGATACAGAATGTTGTACACCTGAAGCTAATAGAATGTTATGTCATTTATATCTCAACTTAAAAAAGATTGCACCTTATATTTGCACTAGAGGCCTGGTACACAAAAATTTGTGCACTCGGGGGAAGGGGGGTCTCTCAGACGCCTCAGCCTGGCCTGCGCCCGTTCACAGTCCAGGACCCCTTGGGGGGTGTCCAGCTGCCCACTTCAGCCCTCTCCCCTGTGGGAGTGCTGCTCAGCCAGGAGCAGGGCTCGCTGCTCCTTAGCGCTGCCTCGGAGGCAGGAGAGGCTCCTGCCACTTC